GAAAATAAACATAGCAGAATCAATACTCACTACTTGGTAGTTTATGACACCAAAGTCTCTGCCAAAATCAGAAATGATATTACTTAGGAGTACTTCAAGTTCATCGGAGACCGGAGCCTGGGACTCTTCCTACCAATTGCCGATGGATTCTGCCAAAATTGGCACCTGCAATACCGAAATTGAAATCCCAACTCAGACAAAAAAAAAAAAGAAGTTAACTTAAATATTCTAATTGCTTATTATCACAAATTAAACAACTCAATAAATTTATTAGAACCAACTACCGAATTCTCTAAAAAAAATAACCATACCCCCGAAAGGAACCCATTTAAGAAAATAAGAAATCCCTAAACAAACAAAGACCAGCAAAATCGAAAAGAAATATAAAAAAGGAGTTAAAGAGTTAAAATCATAATAATTCATACATAGATAAAAGAGATTTGATTCCATACATAGTACCCAGTTTCAGATGAAATTGACAACATGCTGAGAATCTCAGATGAAATTGGAGAAGCAGAGAACTAGATCTCTTCCATCCATTTTCAGAATCAGAATAACAGGACTGGACCGGAGGAGAAAAAGAGAAAAGAAGGGTTTTATTGGCATGTGCTATGGGGTCGCACGTGACTTACCTAAACATATCACAAACATACACAAATGGAATGTCGCCGCTCATCCTGGCCGTCCATTAGTGGCGCTACCATGGAATACAAGGAAGGAATGATGAGGAAACCTGGAAATTTAAGTTGACGATTTCTTACTCTGGATCATGATCGTTTATTTCACTCAATTCATTAGAAATTGTTTCCGTACTCTGGATTGCAAATGATAGAAGAGGAATTGGAAAACAAATAAAATAAATAAATAAATAAAATCAACATTCTTAAAATTAGAAATTGAATACTTAATCAATCAACACCTTACCCCTCAATTATCACCAGAAAGAATATCTCAAGAAAGGTTGAAGTAGGTTCTTATGATCCCACTCCACTGATTCCCACCATTCTTCTGACTCTGCATCTATCCAAATTTCTTTAAGATGAGGAGGAGGAGATGGTTGGCCATTATCAAGCAGGGGAAGCTGCACAGGGATCCTCTTTAACTCCGGACATTCCAATATTTTAATTTCTTCAATAGAATCACAAACCATAACTCCTTTGGCACTGCAGATGCTCTTCAATTGGGGTAAATAGCACAACGACAATATCCTTAACTTGGGAAAAGTGAATTTATCCGATGATGCATCTGAATCTGATGATGCTATTACCTCCTCCATTTGTTCGCACATATAAACATAAATCTCCTCTAAGTTTTGGAAGGCCTGCCGCAGCTCAAGTGGAAGCAACTTCCTCATTCCTGAACAATCCCAAATCCAAAGCTTTTTAAGATTGGAAAAGACGTGCGGTGGTGTTGCTACTCCTTCCACTCTCACAAGTACACTCAATTTAGGCAATCTGCCAAGATACAGCTCTTCAAGCTTATCCAGAACTAGACAGGAGGATGAGTCCAAGTCAACCACGCACTCCATATCTTCACAATCCCTAATATCACAGCTTCTCAACTCGGTTGCCTTTTCTAACAAAGCTGCTTTATTTAAGCTGCTTCTCATGTTTCTACAGCTCACTATCTTCAGCCTCTGAAGGTTATCTGGAAGCACCATACATTCTTCTTCTAAGTCACTCTTATAAATACTAACCACAGATTCCCTTGGAGTAGTCGACGATCCTGTGAGTCTTTCTACTACTTCAATATGGTAATCAGTAAGAATTTGGAAATCTTGAGACTTGACAAAATAATTGTAGCCTTGTATGTCATCGAATACACCATAAAAGGTCTCCAACTTACTCATTCTCACAACCTCATCTCCTTTTATCTTCAATTTTCCATATAATGACAAGTATTGGAGATTGGAAAGGTTTGATAACATTCCCATTGGAATCTCTTTTAGATTGTAACAATAACTTAAATCAAGATATTCCAGACTAATCAATTTCTCCATGCCTTGAGGGACCACCTCAATCTTGGATCCAAACAGATCCAACTTCTTTAATACCGTAAGCTTTGCTAAAGGAGGCAAATACCTTAACCAGTAACACCGCCTTAACCTCATGGAAGAGAGCTTCTCCAAGTTTGAGATGGAATTAGGTAAAGCTTCAATACCAGTTCCAGAAAGATCAAGAACCTTCAGTTCAGGCAAACCTTCAAAGAATGATTCTGGGATCTCAGACAAATTAGGATTATTTGACAATATCAAAGTTGAAAGAGTTGGACACTTTGGGCACAACCCAAGGGGAATTTTTGATATGTTATTCTCCATTAGAGACATCTTCTTAAGATCATTTATCCACCCACGCTTATCTGGTACCTCTGTCAATTTCATACCAGCTTTCACCATATATCCAAATTCAGGACCGATGCTTTTGATAGCCATGTCTCTTAGTACATCATGCATCTTGAAAACATCAACACCACGCCAATCAACAGTTTTCTCTAACAAGCAATTCTTTACTAGCCTATTTAAAAAGGCTTGGCCTCTCTCATAAGCTGCTTTTCTTCTAGGCAACACATCAATTAGTCCTTCATCAGTCCACCCTTCTACCAACTCTTCTCTCTCAAATGGATAATCTTCAGGAAACAAAGAGCAATAAAGAAAACAATTTTGGATTTCAAAATTATTCAAACGATCATAACTAAACCTTAATCTCTTAAATATCTCTTGATCTGAACCAGTCACACTCTTTACCCGTTCACGCAATTCAGTTAGGGCATTATTCCACACTTGCACATCTTCTTCTCCCTTCATACTCTCTGCTATCACAACAATGGCTAGCGGTAAGCCACCACACTCCTGGACAATGAGCTTCAAGATTCTTTCTAAGTTTGGAACTTCTATAGTATGACTCCCAACTTTATCTAAGAATAAGCTAAGAGACTCCTGAAAGGAAAGAAGTTCCACTTTGACTATCTCACAGCCCATTTTTTGGCACACATCAATCAATCTACTAGTGATAACTATTTTGCTTCCGCTCTCAATTGTTGGTTTTGGAATTCCAACATCATTCAGAGAAAATTTTTCCCAGACATCATCTAGTATCAACACATGTCTTACTTTTTCCATAATGCCTGTCAATTTAGCCGACCGCATCTCTTTGTCCTCATCTTTTGGGAGTTCCTCACCAAAACCATGAGCGATGTTTTCTTGTAATTTGATTACATCCAGTGGGTAAGATACAGTGACCCAAATCACTTTATTAAACTCAGTGTGCCTCACCAATTCATTATTGATATTTTTCATGATGGTAGTCTTTCCAACCCCACCAATCCCACAAACTCCAATCATTCCAACCTCATTGCCCATCAAGTATCCCCAAATTTTTTCTTTTGCAAAAGTTTCACCCACTACTTTCTCAATTGGCATGATGACTCCGCGGGATGGAGGTCTGTCAACTATGAGACCATCAGGAAAACTGCCTTGTTCATGGATTCTCTTCACCACCTCCATTTTCTTTCGAACAAGTTTCCCTAGACGGCCCTTTGAGTACCACTTAACTCTCTGAGTCTTTTCTTGAATGTCTTCCACTTCATTATTGATTTCTTGTACACGTTTAAGCCAACCTTGCACTTCATGTTTTACTTCTTTTCCCAAACTTGTATGGGACTGTATGCTTAAATTTATATCCTCTTTTCGCCTGGTTAGAACTTCCAATTCCCTTCTTAGATCACTCACAGCTTCATCAAAAGTTAAGTGATAATCTAGATAGGTGCAGGCTGACCTCCCCAAACACTTTACCAGTTCCATGATAGGCTCCACCAGAAGCTCCATTGAAGAAGACCCTATAAAATGAAACACCATGTGTATTAGAATGTATACAACAACTTCAAAAACAATGCAAGATATAGGAATAACTAAGGGTTAACAGGATGAAAAAGTGAGACCAGAAAGGGTTGGGAAAATTGTCACGTCATGTATACATTTGAGTTTTCTTCTTCATCAGTATACTGTCTACATTAAAAAAAACTCTTAAATAGGAGAAAATACTTGAATTAATTTGTAGAAAGTTACCTAATTAAGAAGATGGTTTTGAAGGAAGATGTAGTTGAGTGACTTGATTAGAACTTCCTCTTCTTTCTACAAGTTTGATTACAACTGAAAAGAAAAAGGAAGATTATTTACACCAAAAATGAGTAAATAAAATGATAAAGCAATGTAGTTGATTGGAGAAAATTGGGCTAATAAATTAATGCAATGATTTTTATTTTTTTATAGAATATTGACCACTGCATTCATCAATTTAGAAGCTTTTACAAGAAAAAAAAGAAATATAACATGACTAGGAAAAAGATGGCAAATATTGTTGCTTGCATTCGAAGACCTAAATAAAATGAGTATAAATAGCTTACATTATACAAGCCTTACACAAAATTTTCAGTCAATTATTTCAAAATTTAAGGAATTCATGCATCACTTAAATTACAATATTTATTCTTAAAATTTGAACTTGAGATTTCTTGTTTTTTGTGTGTCTAATGATGCATTATATAATAATCAATAATCCTTCTCAACCCCTGTCCACCACATCTTAAGATTTGTACTTAATACCTCAAACATAAAAACTCAAGATTTAAACTATTAGGACATCTTCTAGTGGGCACAAGCATCATAGCATATTTGAAATGACAATAGGACTGGTGAGAGTTGGACTGTAATATTCCCACCTATGCCCTTCAAATAATATTTTACTTTTACCTTGCCAATATCCTTTTAGTAAAAATATACATTACCTTTATTCTTAACCTTTTAGGTAATGGGTAATAAGGTAATTTTCATTCATTGTCCTTTGAATTTTTAGTTAAATTTACACTTATAAACTCGAATTGAATGTTCAAAATTTTGAATGATAAAATAATTTAATTGTAAATATATCAATTGTTTTCTTTGAGTAATTGGGTAATTACATAAAAAATGCTAAGGCCCTTTTTTTTTTCAATTTAGATAAAAAAAAAAAGAGTAAGTGAATGACTAAGCACTCAAATTTTGAATGTGATAACTTTTAAGCTCTTCAATTTCACATTACTTAAGCTCCAAAACTAAATTTGACATCATTTAAACTTTGGAATTCCTAAACTTGTTAA